TGGTGGTGTGTCTGGTCAGGATACAGGGTCTTGCACTTGAGAGAGAAAGCTGGAGACTGGTGCTCCTTGAGTTGAGTGTTTTTGGAAGATGAAGGCTTAGTGAAGGGTATGGTGGAGCATAGAAGTATGTTCAAAATGAAGGAAAGATGGATTAGGACTGTTTTGAGAGTTATTACTGTGTTATCAATATAGTACCTAGGGAATATTGGGATCCTGGGAGCATCCAGAGATGCCTGCTCTTTCTGAAGTACTAGGAGAACTCAATTAAATGCTGCTCCCTAAAAAGAAGGGAAAACCTTTTTAAAAGTTCTGCCATAGCTTGTACCTGAAGAATAACAATTTTCCGAAGATTTCTAATGGGTTAGATTTTACACAACTCTCATGGCTATGTTAAGTGTGTATCTCATGACAACAAGCTGTGTCTGCTCTCAGCACCCTCAGGAAGAAACTCCCATTCTGCAGATGGGAAAGAGGCTCATCTTCACAAATTCTTTGCAACGTGTCTGTCAGAACAGAGACTTGAACTCAGGATTCCCAAGTACTAGGCTGGTGCCATGGTATCAGGGGAATGTTCCCTTTCCCAAGGGAAAACAAAGCAAATTATTTAATTCTTAAAAAACCTCCAAGTCACTTTGTGCAGAGGGTTTGGTTAGTTGTGTGACCTGTTATGTGCAATGTAATCCTAAATTTGACCTCTGTAGGCTTTAAAAAACTGAAGTGTATTGATAGTGATGTGCTTTAGATTGTGAGGCAAAATACCTTAGCAGCCTGCTGATCTCAGGTTCTTAAACCTTAGGGCTTTCTTCTTCCTCTAACTGTTGTGGGAGAAGGGAAGACTGAAAAATAGTTGTTCAAGGATTAAACATGGAGTTATTTCTCTTGGAGTGCTTGATTTGGCAGATGACTGCAGACATCTGCTAAATGAAATGACGCTTACACACTGCTAATTTAAATGATGCTTACAAACTTTTTTACTTGCTGTCGTTTGGATGTAAGATGTTTCTCTAATTTGCTCGTGTAGTTGTAGCCACGCTAAGAAGCTGTGCTAGAGCTTTGATGAGAAGTGGTGAATAAATTCCATCCTACAAGTGGCATTGCTTGGCTGGC